CAGCCAATGTGACATAGCAGTCAGGGCTTCAGAGCACGGGAGAGGTGTGGGGTGTGTGTGGAAAGCTGAAGAGTGAGGGGGAAATAAAGGTAGGTTGATGATTGGCTGGGAAGGAGATAGGGTTGCCAACTCCAGGTGGGAAATTCCTGGAGATGTGAAGGATGGAGCCTGGAGAGGGTGAGGTTTCAGGAGGCGTGGGACCTCGTACAGGTACAAAGCCATAGACTCCACCCTCCAAGCCAACTATTCCCTTCTGGGGAACCATCGTTGCCAATCTCCAGGTGAGGACTGGAGATCACTCAAAATTACAACTGTTCTTTAGGTAGCAGAGATCAGTTCCTCTGGAGAAAATGGTGGACTCAGTGTCATTATACCCCGCTGAGGTCACCACAGCAAATTGACACTGAGTGTCCAAGACTGGGGCACCCGCCCAGAGCCTCTTTCTAGAGGCCGTTGTATTTATTTCCACAATGGGCCTTTTTCCTAGTATATATATATTCCTCTAGGTCACTGGATGCATGTACATATCTTTTAAAAAAACACAAATCTCCTCTTGCCCAGCACAGAACGAAATTACTGCTGTAGCAATTTATAGCCATTTCAAGAGCTGCTCGCCCACATTCAAAGTAGCATCACCAGCCAGGTCAGAATGACCTCTTGAAAGTGCGGCCAGCGGCAGGGTGGTGGGGGCGGGATGGCTTTGGAGCACTGGTTAAGACTCCAAAAGAAAAGCACATTAACAATGCGGACTGTCTGTTTACCTGTGAACCGAGCCCTGCCAGGTCTTCACACTTCCCTTTTGACAGCGCCTGCTGAATTTTGATGGAATCCTGCTGGTAGAAGCTCTGGACCGCATCCTGGAAATCGGAGAAGCCGTCCTGCGAACACGCAATGGGGAAGGAAGGGAGAAGGAGGCGTTACGACACTGTTTTTCTTCTAAGTCTGAAATTATCACCGCAGCCGATAGACATTCTTTAGCAGGATTTGCCGGCAGCAGCTTAATTTGAGAACCCGAACAGAGGATTTTAATAGGCGCACAAAAAACGATGCAAGCTGAAGGTTGTTCTAGCTGTGCTGTGTTTTCCCCCCAGTAATTAGGGCCAGATTGAGCCTCAGTCCTCGGCTAAAGCTCTGCAAAACCTCTGGTACACCTATGATACTTTAATTTTTATAGTAATCGGCTTCTACAGTTTCTATTTCCCAGGAGGCTTCAGGCCGCTGCTATGTGCTGTGTGTGGCCTTCAGGATACCACTGTACACGACACTGCCTCAAATTACTTTTGCTTTCTGAGAACGCTTATACTTTTGTAGAAATCAGAAGCCACTATCAAATTCTAAACAGATACAAGTATCAGAAACTGGTTTCCTTGATTCTCTGAGTCAACCTAAATTAACCCAGCTTTCCTTGAGTTTCCTGACCCCAGAGACCGAAAGGGATGACTATGTTGTATATGTCAGATGTATGTCAAATGCTCGTCACAGACTTGTCTGACAGCTACATTAGCTTCAGTGGGCGAGGAGGGTACTTAATGTCTGGTTTTACTCTTGTTCCGGGGTTGTTCTGATCAACTACCCTCAGTTATGGGTCTTGGCAGAATAACCAAGGGTATCCTTTATACCGGAGGTGTCAAACTCATTTACTACGAGGGCCGGATCTGACATAAATGTCACTTTGTCGGGCCAGGCCATGTGCGCCATAAAATGTAATGCCAGGTACCGGAGATATAAACTTTATAAAGGACACAGGCGAACCCAATTAACAATATTATTTTTAACTCAAAATACACACACACAAAAAAAGGAATTGATTCCTAGCAGTGAAAGCAATTGATTTACTGGGGAACCAACAAAAGCCCCAATAAATATATTTAATCATATGCAAGACTAGGGTTTTTTCCCCAAAGGGATACCATAAAAGGGGGAGTACCTGACATCTCCATACATACCAGTTGTTTGCGGGCCGGGTAAGACACCTGGGTGGGCCTGTTCCGGCCCCCAGGCCTTATGTCTGACACCCCTGCTTTATAGGATTACAAGCAGGGGTCATTTCGTAGAAAAAGAGGTGCAGGAGCTCATTAGCATAACTCATTAACATGACTTATTTGCATATGCCACACATCCCTGACATCACCGGAAGTGTGTCAGAAGGCAACACCCACTGCTCAGGCTGGACTGTTTTGGACTGCTAAATATTGGGGGGGGGACATGCAGATCTGTCCTTGCAGAGGAGGGAGAGCTTGTACCTGAATAAAACTTGGTCTTAAAGGTGCCGCTGGAGGGGGGGGGTGGCTCTGCAGCTTACCTGGCTGCTTCTTGCTCTGACTGAGAGCTGCTGGGAGCAGGGGGTGGTGCTTGTTGCATGTGCCCGCCCCCTGGGCGCTTTACTGCCGGAGCTCTGCTCCTGTGCGCTCCTCCAGGAAATGACCCCTGATTACGTGCACTATTTATGTACTGGGGTTCTGTTGAAACATTCT